GTTGCCGTACGTTGACTTCCGGTGGAAGTTAAGTTAATAGCGGTGCACAATAAGGAGTGAACAGAGTGCAAAGCATCTAGCAGCACACATTCCCACTCGGTAATGTCCCTTTGTTGGGTCTTCAATGCCAGAGTGATAGACTTCCAAAGAGTACCATTAAGCCGTTCGACTTGTCCGTTACCGCGCGGATTGTATGGGGTAGTTCGACTGGTTGCTACACCCCTGTCGTGAAGAAACGTTTGTACTTCACCTGACATGAAAGCTCCACCACGATCAGAATGGACGTATGAGGGCATTCCGAACAAAGAGAACAACTGATTAAAACACTTGATCACGGTGGATGAGGACACATCCGTACACGCGAAGGCGAATGGGAAACGGGAGTACTCGTCGATCATTGTTAGAAGGTATTTGTTGTGGGAGGTTGATGGAAGTGGGCCTTTAAAATCTATGCTGACGCGTTCAAACGGCTGTGTAGCTTTAATAATATTGCCAAAAGGGTGATTGTTGTATGGCTGTGAGACTTGGCCTATTCGAGCAGCGGACCTGAGACGTCTTCAGGTTTTCGACAATCGTTGTCTCAGAACCATAGCTCGTGTGGGTTGGTGTCAGCGAATCCGTAACGAGGCAGTTAGAAAGCGTGTTTTCGGTTGTGTAACGGGTACTTCCATTGAAGATTGTGTCCAGCACCAGAAGCTGCGTTTGTTGGGACATGTTTTACGCATGCCGAAGAGAGTATTGTTTTCCATGCCCAATTCGGAGTGGCGTAAACAGAGGGGTGGCCAACCCATGACCTGGCAGAGGAGTATGAAGGAGATCACGAGACGCTTGGGTGCTGTCGGTGCTACTCGCCTTGCAGGATGGGGACCGCGTGATCCTCACTTTGCCTGGTTGGAGAAACTACAAGATATGGCTGCCAACCGATGTCAGTGGCGTTCTTGTTGTCAGTTTCTATCCAGATTGCCTGAGTGAATGTCTGGAGGTGTAGGCACCTCGGAATGATTGTGTTAAGCTAGCACTAAGTCCCTCCCCCATCCACCTTTATTCTTTTCTTTACAATAAGGCTTTCAAATAAGTCATGGTTGTACGGCAGTGAAGCATCGGTGTTGAACACTGATGTCATGCTGTCGATGATGATGATGATGATGATACAGTCATGTTTGGCAGCAGCCCCAATTTTAGCCCCATGTTATCCTCAAATCCTTTGTCTAAGAGAAAGCTGATATCCCCGTGGGTTATTTCGCTCAAAACTCCAACCCATTCAGCCACTGTTACGCTTGTTTTTCATTATTAAATCTTAAGAAATCCATCACTGCAACGAGAAGCGCATGTCAATCTGAACATTTTCCCGACATTTCCCAACCTCCTCCTTCCAGAAACGTTGACCCGAATAAGTTCCTGTCGTGGCTTCATTTTTAGCCCATAAGGTTTTACGGATATTGACACATATGGATGGAAAACGGCTAATCTCTTCGCTACTGCAAGCGGGGGCCGAACAGGCGCCACCCGATTTCCATCACTTTAATTTTGCCCAAGAAGTTGTCACGTGAACTGGAGAACAATGCTCCAGTCGATGGCCTTCAATCGGGGTTCAGGTGCTTCACACAAGGCTTGTTCGCATGCCTCGCCCCTCTGTTCTTCGGCTCTTGGCACATTTAGCGAAAAAGAAACAAAACTTCCCGAGATCTGGAAACTTGATGTCCTCTCCAAACTACCTACGTAAAACCTACATCCAAAAACAATCACCTGGGTTGTAAAATCTTTGGAAAACCAATCATTTCAGGTGCTTTTTGACAGGGTGGCTTACAGGGCCTGAAGCATCCATACAAAGGTTCTTCCCACACCCTATTCTTGTATAACACGGATGATCTTTTCTTTATGTGGTTCCCCCTAGCATTCATGCTTTCGCCCAGTATGTTACTGTCCATCGCTAGTTGCCCCATCCGTCCTTGTGCTTTCCACTTTTCATCATATTCTGGACTACCTCGTAGAAGTAATCAGCCCGATGAACGATTACATGGAACGTATAAGCGATGCTACACTCATGTTTTTACATCCGTCAACACACCCGCCTCAGTTCTCCATAAGCCCTCCAACTTCTATCGGTCCTTCTCTCTTAATTGTTTTTGTTTGGAAATTTTCTGACTATCTCTCGTTTCAGTCATGTCACGCTGGTTGATACAGTTCCATCCCAGAAGGTGAACTTGCTTTTCCGCACCAAGAGTATTTTACCGTCCTCCAACTTTTGATTCTCCATAAATCTTAGATTCAACGTAACCTTGAGTAATGTTATGACGTTTGGATTAGGAGCTCTCTGCCCCTCTCTCAGTATTAGACAACGTTCAAAGAATGTCATTAATCTTAGTGTCACTCCATTTCATACTGAAATTCCCCAACTTCGTCACCATCCGACTTGCAACATCCCCCCTCAATTAATCGTTGTCATAATGGAAAATTCTCCTAAGAAGTTGTCTCAACCGTTTCCATCTCACCAACTTTAAATCACCGGAACCTTCCAACTACCCTTACTGAGCCATCATGCTACACTGACATCTTTGTCTCTTCCCCGGAATACAAAATTCCGGAAGAACAACCTCATCCGTGCGAGCTCGATGTTTCATTAGTTGCCCTGCAAGAAAGTCCATCCAATCAAAAGTACACATCTTGAGCCTAAAACTAGGTGTCTCGGTTGAGACAACGGGAATATATTTCCCGTGCTCGACAAACGGAACCTTCAGTACCGTCTGTCATGACTTGCAAACACTGACACTAAAGCAGCTCTCCAATGATCATACCACTGCAGCGACTGTTGCAGGTCGCTTCTGTTATGTCGTGTTGAGTTTTCAGCACCAACGTTGTACAAACACTTCACACAAATGCACCCTACACTAACCAACTACAACATTTCGCCTCACAAATTAGGGAGTACATGGAAGGTAAGACAGTTTATGTAGAGAAAAACCGTTTAGCTGTAACACCCTTCCGGTGCCCAGCTGCCATGCCACCCGAAAGAAACAAGAGGGTTGGGATACTGCCAGGTTGCCCAAGCCCAGACAGAGGTCGGGTTCGAACCACGGACCTTCTGGTCAAAAATCCCCGCTCTAACCACATGAGCCATTTCGCTCCCAGTTTATGCACGGGGTAGCACCAAGGGAAATACAGTCCAACAAGCCGAAAAACTCGTTGTCAGCAAGGCGTAGGGCCACATCGTACAACGTTGGGAAGCAAGCAAGCGAGAACATGGGTAGTTTATAAAGTTCTACCGCATATACCTGGTGTATACTTGCTGGACACCGTGAGCAAACTAACTAATTGGGGCGGCACGGTAACGACCAAAACATTCATTTGCACACACCGCGAAAACAAAGAAAAATGAACCCATTAAACAGAGCCCTACGGAATCACACAAATTCTGGTGAGGATATTGACGGCGGCGACGATACCGTTGAGGTAGTGAGCCAACCAGTTAACAAGGTTACTTCACGGACTTAATAATGTACGCAGGTGTTGATTTGGAGTAAAGAGTATACTGAAATATGGGTACATGTAAAAAGGAGGCCTAGATGTTTCAGTTAAATATACAGAAGGTCCATGAGGTATACAAGCTAAAACTCACTGCGACGTCCTGCTTTGGGGTCAAATCATTGCTTCCTGTCGTTTCGTCCACCAGGTCTTCCGGTGAGACCCAATTACTGGCTGATACATCAGAATGTTGGGCCAAAACTTTGGTAATGACGTTGTCGTCTTCAAGGCCTAGACGGCTGTTAAGCTCGTGCCGCTGAACTGAAAAAAATGTAACACGCAACAATATACTCCCGCGGAGAATGAGAATGATCATTCGCTTTACAGCGGGCAGGAAGAGAGGCAATAATCATCATCCGCTGCAAAAACGGTGTATGTGTTGTACAGTGGTTGCAGTTGCCACAGTTTTGTTTTACAATAATCTCGGGAGATAAAGGTGGATGACTACACTTCGGAGGTGGCAGCTGAGGTAACTGAAGTGTAAATCCAGGAGTGACACCGGATTTCACGTTCGTGAGATCGGGAGAAGCTATGTAGTGAAGGTAACAGCTTGGACACGTGCGCTCCACTGGGTGCACGACTGAACCATGTCCAAAAATGCCTCTAAACATGTCCAGTAGACACGCCGCTTATCACCAAATACCTACACACAAGCCGGGGAGAAGATTTATGGCACTTTATCGTATTCTTTCTAGGTCCACTAATGGTATTTTTTCCAATCAACGATTAACTCAAGTTCCTTATGTCCGTGGTCGAAACGCCGCCACACGAGACGAAGATATTTTGTTGATTCCTGGAGATCACCAAAAAAAGATGCGGTTACATTAAACAATAGTAGGGCGTCATTAGAACTTTAAAGGGATACGGAGTGTGTGGGACTTCCCAAGCCACATCCCGAACGGTTAGATGCTCTGTGGTTACGAACTCCCCCTCACAATGATAAATCGCAAAAACGACCTGTGGGAATGTCTGTGTATTACGCCCAGTGAATCCCTCGCTTCTCAGAAAAACTACGTCCTCTGGTTCATAACGACATCTCATTTAACAGAAAATGCATATGGGGAGTTTAAGTTCCCAGACAAGAATTGGAACATGCAACTCTCGTGACATTTGACTCCTGTCTTTCGCTATCATTAGAAACAAAGGCCACAGACGCTGCCAGCAACTGTGAACGAAAACGATCAGCAATCTGCTTTTACCTCTAGGAATTATCGGCGCAAGAAAGTACGGTGAGTTTTATGAGGAAGCTTATGCAGTTATCGTAGCCATACGAAGATATATCCATTAGCTTCTGGGTAAGTATTTTTAAATTGTTATGGACGAGCGACCCATCACCTTTGTGCACGATTTGAAGAGGAGTAGTAACATTAGGAATGAAAAATCCGAATGATGGAAAACTGCATTACCAGTAGGGAACGGCGACTTTGTTTACAGATCGGGAAGTCTGATAGGGGACAGTTTGTCGCACGTTCTGTTTTTCAGCTAGAGCTCCATATAGTAATTAAGGAAGTAACTAGCAAAACCTAGCAGGTCTCGTGCATCCTTCGAGTCGCACCGTAGCTACGCACCGAAAGGTACTTCAGAAGAACTTTTATTTAATGAATAGTCTTTTCGCAGAAATATGCATTAAGGCCCAGGGAGATATAGTGTTAATATAACATTACGAATATATTAGTCCCCTGGATACCTAGTGGCTGATGTATATGTGCGGTTCACATGTTGGTTTTCTCTATCCTGATGAGTCTTTATCCCTCGACGGATTATATACAGCAGACCCTACATACACGCCGACAAAGCAAATGAAGCTTGCTAAGCAACAGGCGTATGACAATGAAACTGAATATATTCCTACTATTACTACCGAGTGAAAATTGAGCTGCGAAACGATACAAAAAGCCAAAAATTGGAAGTTGAAGCACATTGTCACTCGATGCAATACTAGTTTGCTTCCCTAATCCGCCAACAGACGCGACCGCTACTCATGCAACTGGATAGCAAAATGTGGGACGAACATCCTCAAGACTGCTTCAAGGGAGCTTGCCCAGTCAAAATTTCAGGTGAAACCTGTGGATAAAACTGAATGAGTGGGAAGGATGCTTCATGTGCTTTGATCCCCGATATCCCAAATTTGACATGTTAGTAAGGCACGAAAAGGGTAACATCCCAGTAGCTTGAGTGCGACGCGGGCATTTTATTGGACGCATTAATTCACTTGCAGGAGAGAGCTTTAAGTGCGTATTCTGAAGAACTAGTCGAATTCGATGCATAATTCGAAGCTTACTTCCCTTCCATAAACTTCAACAACACATAAGCGTTGGAGATCGTAACATTGAGCAAATATAACAATCCACTTTCCACTCCCTATTAACATAATAGATCAGCATCGTCTCAAAAACAAGAACTTAGGTACAGGTCACGAAATTAACTGTCACCAAGCAATACTATAAAAAGGTAGCACAATATGATTAGTAGATGAGATGCTAATCACAATCAACGTACCTAGAAATGTTGAGGAAGCAGAGTTGTTATCGCTGAGTGCATCGGGCAGGAAAGTTACAGAATCTGAGGCAGGATTCGTTGAAGAATTCGCTGAGGGAGTGGACTGGGAACCTGACCTTGGCCTAGTATTTGGTCGCTCCAGTTCCCGGGCATCCATGCTGTACAGCCTAGCACCCTGAGCAAGCACCCGGTCCAAACGAAGGTCACGGAGGCTAAGGAAGCCATCTTTGTCAACCGCGGTGGTAGCACATTCAGGTTCATCAAGATCCACGGGAGACAATGGGTCCCAAGATGGAAGGTTGCGGACGATCGACCGAATCACATCAGCTGCGGACAACCGGGAAACCCAACTCCGACTTCTGAGAAGTGGAATAAGCTGGAAATAAAAAAAAATAATAAATAAATAAATAAATAAGTTTGCATGACCATTTAATGATACGATCGTTTCAGCTATGTAGTGAACTACATTTGGAGGGAGCGGGTATTGCGATCCTTGTTCGACCGATTATTGCAGCCTTGTACCAAGTGAACTGAGTTACAGCTTCCGTCAAGTCCCATCTAGCCCAAACACAACGTTATGACAAGAGAGTGGTCTCAATACTTATGAGCTGGAAGGACCTGGAAAACTGTAACTTTCCTGGTCGATTCCCAGAGGTTGACGCCCTGGCCTGTCTTGACCCTATAATTTCACCTAAAAGGTGTTAGTGCGTATTAGTGATCGCAAGGCTACAGGCCAACAGCACTCCGGATATCTTTGTTTAATAGTAATGAAGTGGATGCTATTTGAGAAGTGAGTGGAAATTAAGAGTTGCTTCACTAGAACTCTACGCTTTTTGGGGATATTGGAGGAGATAACCACGAGTGCGTTGGAGCCATTCACTTATGCAAGGTTTCTGAACTTCAAAGCTTTCGCGCATAAAATGTGGGAACTGACTGTTTCCATTCACCATTCGTGCAAGCCATCTGTTATTTGCATGAAGATGGTTGTTTTCCAATTCCACAGTACTTACTTCTCTTTTTTTGCCGTCTTGACAGAAAGGGTATCACCATACTTGGGGTCTGGGTTTAAGCAAACCACCGGACATCTTACTTGTTAGGGTGGTCATAGATAGTCTGCCATTTCTGAGGAAATGTCAAAGAGCAACAAGCTCCTGCATCGAACTGGTTGTAGGTTTAAACTTTGCTATGGAAAAAACTACATTTGATTCGTAAAGGCACTGAAGCTGCTATACACTAAATCTTCCACACTTTTGTGTCACACTGCAGTTGTAGAACCAAGCGCACCGAACTAAATCTAGATGGGGCAACTAGAGGATTATTAAAAAGAGCAAAAACACTAAAAAGAGACGCGGACACAAGGTTGATTCACTAGTACTGTTCACGCACAGCAATCCAAAGCAATCCAAATGCTACAACCCAGTTTCTCAGGTTCGCAAGCACAATATCTAAGAAATCATCATATGCAATGCCCAAACGATGCATGTTATTTGTTGCTTTCAAAGTAACTCTGAATGCACTGGCTCGCGTTGGAAGATCATCGCCATCATCAGAGACAGCAACATCAGTGTTGATACTGATGCTTCACTGCCGTACATCCACAACGTTTATCTAATCATATTTCAAGCCTTAGAATCAAGACAGTGGGTGATGAAGGGCACCTGGTAATGGTCTATCGTGACCATTCTGAGTTGCCTGCACTTGCACAGTCAAACAATCAGGGAAGAAACTGAAAACATGAACATCATGGACACCGATCAGCCGCAATTTCTTGCAATGTCTACAGCCAAGCGCAGAAGCGGTCACGAACACCCCACCCTGAAAGGCGCACTGCACTCAAACTCTTTGTTGGACTATCAGAGGAAAAATCGTAAGAAATCGTCCAGCTGTAACACCCTTTCGGTGCCTAACTGCCATGCCACCCGAAGGTTGCACGAGGGCCGGGATGCTGCCAGGTTGCCCAAGCCTACACAGCGGAAATCAAGAGGCAGAGAAAGCACATCGGAAAATGAAGATTGACGCTGAACGAACCGCAGAAGTTCCCTCGTCAAGCAATGGCGGTCAGACTGGATGCTTCCCATCATCCAACCAAGCTACGTATAGTGACAGACGCTCGAGTGCACGAAGATCAGAGCGCAGTACCAATTGAACCACGTCAAAAAGACTGTTTTACCGTGGTGAGAGGGTTTGTATACGTCCGCGACCCACAGGGCTATAATAAGGGGTGTCAGCGCGAGTCGGTCTCTCATACCAGGTTGCTCAACGGTTAGAGGTCTGACAAACAGTCTCCTGGTCATCCAGCTGGGGGGATGGAAAATGTGTGGTGACTTGTTCTGTAGAAACTGAAATGAACCTGTATTTCTCGCCAAACACCGCTGTCTTGCAGTCAGGCGTTTGGGCTAAAGACTTTATTCGAGGACTAAAATCGTCCTCTGGTCTAGTTGTAGGCGTCCTGGGATTATTCCAAAAATCAAATATCGAATCGTTCACCTGTGGCACCATTTCGGTACCTAGCTGTCATGCCAACTAGAGGCACGGAAGGTGGGATAATACCAGATTGCCCAAATCTGTATACGAACAGTCGAGATGCTCAGGTTAATTGGAACCATTTGGGCTCCAGTAGCTGGCGTCTGAATCGCTGAACTAATCTGACCCCAGTATTCCACCACAAGTACAACAATGAATTGCACACATACAAATAAACTCACGCCACATTGGCCGTCACCTAGTACGATCAGCCGGGTCGCCTGACTTGCTACATACAGCAGGGCGAGTAAGCGAAAACAGGTTACTGCTGACGCCCTCTCCCTTTCTCTTCCACATACTTTGTTTATCCCCCTCGCCACACCCCATTAATAATTATCTTTTCGTAGGCCCAGCACATAAAACTGATGACGCCGTTCGTGCTGCATCGGATTTGCAAGCGATATCTGAGCGACATCCAGAGCCGAACTCCTCAGGCATATCGAAGGCAGTCTTCAAGCCTTGACGTCCAGTCTATCTGAGTGCCTTTAATGTCCACACCCTGAAGCAAGCAGGTCAACAAGCCGCTCTTGCTTTAACAATGGGCTTGCTTGACATTGAGGTGCGCTGTGTATCAGAGGCAGTAATTCAAGACGCAAGCACAGTGGTCGAACTAAACGCTCCATCGCCCTCCACTCGCTTCCAGGTGCGCACCTCTGGTGATCCTGAGGCTGCTGCGGCAGGATGTGCGGGGGTTGCTAATGTCCTTTCACCGGGCGGAAGGATCCTTGCTTGACTGCATACCGGTAGTCGTCTGTGTGCCGTTCGTCTGGCAACTTCTGTGAAGGAATCCAACAAGCGGGAAGTTGATCCATCTCAATCTGTCACGTCTTACGCCCCAACTGACAGTAGCTTTATCACCATCAGACACAAGTTTTACGATGCCCTGAATACCCTGTGGTTGCCGGATATCTAAATACAAAAGTGGGTATGACTAGCACACCTGAGACTCGATTACGTGGCCGACTTGGATTGGACTCGGTACGTACGGACAATGGTGAACGTTTGCCCAGCTGTGTGCTGATTGTACTGTTTTTATGGAGTACTAACTTCCGAAATAGCTGGTCATATTGTGTCCCGCAACGGCGTCATCACCATCAGAGACAGCAACATCAACACTGACATTCAGTTGTAACACCCTTTCAGTGCCTAACTGCCATGCCACCAGAAAGAAGCACGACTGCTGAGATACTGTCATATTGCCCGAGTCTAGAAAGAAGTCGAGCTGCAGAGGTCGGGGTTCGAACCACACACATGACAGCTAATATATTCCAACTCTAACTACTGAGCCATCAGTAATGACATTGATGCTTCACCACCGTACAACTACAAAGTTCATAAAATTATATTTAAATCATTGGAGTGAAAAGATGACAAAAAGTGTGTGAGGGAACAAACCTAATGCTGACCTATTGCAAGCATTCTGTGGTGCCCACACCTGTAAGTGCTCAATAAGACAATCTGGAAAGAAATTGACAACCCGAACACCACTGGCATACCTAGTACGATCAGCCGGGTCGCCTGACTTGCTACATACAGCAGGGCGAGTAAGCGAAAACAGGTTACTGCTGACGCCCTCTCCCTTTCTCTTCCACATACTTTGTTTATCCCCCTCGCCACACCCCATTAATAATTATCTTTTCGTAGGCCCAGCACATAAAACTGATGACGCCGTTCGTGCTGCATCGGATTTGCAAGCGATATCTGAGCGACATCCAGAGCCGAACTCCTCAGGCATATCGAAGGCAGTCTTCAAGCCTTGACGTCCAGTCTATCTGAGTGCCTTTAATGTCCACACCCTGAAGCAAGCAGGTCAACAAGCCGCTCTTGCTTTAACAATGGGCTTGCTTGACATTGAGGTGCGCTGTGTATCAGAGGCAGTAATTCAAGACGCAAGCACAGTGGTCGAACTAAACGCTCCATCGCCCTCCACTCGCTTCCAGGTGCGCACCTCTGGTGATCCTGAGGCTGCTGCGGCAGGATGTGCGGGGGTTGCTAATGTCCTTTCACCGGGCGGAAGGATCCTTGCTTGACTGCATACCGGTAGTCGTCTGTGTGCCGTTCGTCTGGCAACTTCTGTGAAGGAATCCAACAAGCGGGAAGTTGATCCATCTCAATCTGTCACGTCTTACGCCCCAACTGACAGTAGCTTTATCACCATCAGACACAAGTTTTACGATGCCCTGAATACCCTGTGGTTGCCGGATATCTAAATACAAAAGTGGGTATGACTAGCACACCTGAGACTCGATTACGTGGCCGACTTGGATTGGACTCGGTACGTACGGACAATGGTGAACGTTTGCCCAGCTGTGTGCTGATTGTACTGTTTTTATGGAGTACTAACTTCCGAAATAGCTGGTCATATTGTGTCCCGCAACGGCGTCATCACCATCAGAGACAGCAACATCAACACTGACATTCAGTTGTAACACCCTTTCAGTGCCTAACTGCCATGCCACCAGAAAGAAGCACGACTGCTGAGATACTGTCATATTGCCCGAGTCTAGAAAGAAGTCGAGCTGCAGAGGTCGGGGTTCGAACCACACACATGACAGCTAATATATTCCAACTCTAACTACTGAGCCATCAGTAATGACATTGATGCTTCACCACCGTACAACTACAAAGTTCATAAAATTATATTTAAATCATTGGAGTGAAAAGATGACAAAAAGTGTGTGAGGGAACAAACCTAATGCTGACCTATTGCAAGCATTCTGTGGTGCCCACACCTGTAAGTGCTCAATAAGACAATCTGGAAAGAAATTGACAACCCGAACACCACTGGCATTGAACAGCTGCCATTTCTTGTAATGTCTCCAACCAAGCGCCGGCACGGTCACGGGGACACCGCT